TATACTAAAATTCAAATTTAAATTAGGATAAATGTGTTAGTGAAATAATATATTAGTTATTTTAATATTTTGACCAAAAATATAACGTTCATTAAAAGAGGTGCAAAATATATTATAACCTTATTGTTTATTATACTTAACGTTGATTAAAAGAGATGAAAAATAGATGATAACTCTATTGTTTTATATACTTAAACGGACAAAACATGTGAAAATAACTCATTTAATATTTCCATCTCGTGCATCGCACGGGGTACGTACTAGTAGTAGGTTAAACTATTGTCAAAATTCTATCTGCATTAATTACTTACCACTTTTAGTTATTTGTATTTTGGCAAAAAATCTAGCAGCATTAAATAATGTCCTTAAATCACGTTGTTAATTTAGTTTGGAGAAAATCAGGGCAAATAAAAGTAACAACATTAAATCCGACTGATTTTGTATTTAAATGGTAAAACGAATATTACTTATGTTTATGGCAGATTTAAATTTACGTTTGATTTAATACTAAAAACTACTTTTGCAATTTCAAAAAATCTGTACACTTTAATGTACAGCTGATTTAAAATTAATCTTTTGTATTTTCACAAAAAAAAAATCGTATAAAGAAGTATGGCTGAAATAACAATAAAAAATTAATTTTTTAAACCATATTTTGCACTCATAGGTGCGAATTCTCATCAAATTCAAAATTTAAAATTGTGAAGAATGTATTAGATGTAGACTGATTGAAGATATATGATTCCTTCAATTAAGGAATTTTTCAGTAAAAAAAAAAAAATATAAACTTTAAATATAGATTTTATTAGTAGTGTATACTAAAGAATATTGTTACATTTAAAATTCCTACGAGGAAGAATTCTATTAATTTTCAAATTCAACATCTCATAAAAATAAAATACTACACTTTTACATTTTATAACCCGTCGGCGCAGCTCCTTCTCTTTCGCCCTGGTTGGCCTTCCCCGGCGACGGCGGGGCTCCGGCCTTCAGTCGTCCTCGACCGATTTGCCCTCCTTTTTGTCGATTGCCTCGGTTTTGGCTCCTTTTGGCAGTTTCGGAGATGGTGGTCGCTTGCCGTCCTCCTCTTTTCCAGGAGGGGTTTCCGAGATCGGGTCTTCGCTCTGGTCCGTGGGTGCTGTTGGTGAGGGCGTCACAGTGTTGTTGGCGTCGTGTTTGGTCGGGGTGTGGGCCGGTGGGGGGCATTAGGTTTCGATGGTCTCGATGGGTTTTCGTTGGGGCGGTCGGAGCTGAGGGATTCCGCCGTCTCCTCCCTTTTGGTCCTCTGG